TCTGCGGATGATACGGTGTGGAATGACAAAACTGTGTCGTTCAGCTGCGTAAGAATTCTTGAACGGCATCAGCAGAGAACTGGCGGCCACGGTCGCTGGTAATAACATGCGGTGGGCCATGGCGAAGGAACACGGAGTGGAGCAAAAAGTCTGCCACGGATGCACCGGTATAAGAGGGAATGGCTGCGGTTTCAGCACACCGCGTAAGATGATCTACGCAGACAATTATCCAACGGTTCTTATTGTTAGATAACAGAAATGGACCCATAATATCAATTCCTACTTGTTCCAAAAGTGTGCTGGGGAATGTTAATGACTGAAGGGGACCTGGTGCAGTGGTGGCCGGGCGCTTGTGATGTTGGCACGTCTCGCAGCTAGCGACGTAACGCTTCGTTGTTTCGTACATCTTGTGCCAGTTAAAAGCGTTCCTGCGTGCGGTTCAGCGTTCGTATGAAGCCGAAGTGACCAGACGTCGCATCGTCATGCATAGCACGGTGAACATTAGAGCGAAGGCTCTCGGGGATAACCAGACGAAAACGTGCTTCAGACCTAGAGTAAATAGTTATATAGAGCAACAATTCTCGGACCGTAAAGCGACCGCTGTGTTGGGTGGCACGTGTGGTGGCGAAAAGAGGATCCAGGTTGAGATCGTTGCGTTGTTCTTTCTGGAGTCAGCCGCGTTGGGGAACGTGCTTGTAACAGCAGCAAGGCAATTATCAAAATTCTCAGCATCGCAGTCGGTAATCGCAAGAGGAATCCGAGAGAGGCAGTCTGCGTCAGCGTGACGATGGCTAGTTTTGTACGACACCGTAAAGTCATATACCTGAAGTCGCAGCGCCCAACGTGCGAGGCGGCCAGAGGGGTCATGCAAACCGACCAGCCAGCATAACAAATGGTGATCGGTAATTATCTTAAATGGCCTCCCGTAAAGATAACAACAAAACTTCTGTACGGCGAAAATAGCTGCCACACATTCCTGTTCCGCAACTGTGTAATTGTGTTCACATTTGCTCAGTCAACGGCTGACATATGCCATGACATGCTCTGCGCCATTGTGACGTTGTAAAAGCACCGCTCCTACACCGATACCACTAGCGTCCGTGTGGACCTCAATCGTACAAGATGGATCGAATTGACGCAACAGTTGTGCTGACGTTAGTACAAACTTAAGTTGTGAGAATGCGGCATCACACTTTGGTGTCCAGTTGAAGGTTGCATCTTGTCGCAAGATGTTTGTCAGTGGGTACACAATCTATGCAAATCGTGGAACAAAACGACGAAACTATGAGCAAGGTCCGACAAATGAGTGAAGTTCCCGTGTGGACTGCGGTGATTTGAAAGAGCTCACTGGTTCTATCTTGCGAGGATCGGGTCTGACGCCCTCCTTGTCGGCCGAGTGCCCCAGCACAAGAGTTTGACGTTCGTCAAGGCGAGATTTTTTTGCATTCAGAACCAGCCCAGAAAAACATCTTTCTTCGTCACAGTGTTTAGACGCCTGTAATCTACACAGAATCTCCAAGAACTATCCTTTTTACTGGCAAGAATTACTGGGGCTGCCCACGGGCTGGACGACTCAAGCGCGACACCTTTGTTCAGCATGTCCTTTACTTGTTGGGCGATAACTTTGCGCTCAGAGGATGGCACTCGGTAGGGCTTTTGGCGGATATGGTGTGCGGAGCCGGTGTCTATCCTGTGACGAGCACGGGACGAGTGAAACTGAAGGGGTGCATATCTATGTTTGAAGTCAAAAGCTGAAACATGTCGGGAAAGAACCTGCACCAGCGCTTGCCATTCCATCGTACTGAGAGTCTTGCTGATCATACCCAGCATTAGATCTTCATTATGGCGAATGCCACAAGGAGGAGAAGAGGTGGTGAGGTCCGTAGCTAGTGCTGCTATCGAGCTGCATGAGGCTTCATTGAAGAAAGCTATCTTCATCCCGCGAGGAAGCACAACCGGCGTGGCAGAACAGTTCAGCACCCACAATGTTGCTACCTCTTTTGTCATGCACACATTAGAACAGGGCACAAGTATGTTCTTCCTTGAACAGTTCTTACGGAGAGGCTCCAGTACGAGGTCAACACAAGCATCATCAACCGCTGGTGAAGAGACTCGAACGGGTGTTAGGCACCAAGATGGTGCTATCACTTCATAAATCACACTAAGTGTGTCCCTCTCTTCGCCATGGTAGTCTTCTTCGGAAAGCGACGGTAGAAACAAACTGTTTAATAGTATTTCCCCACTACCACAGTAGACGGACGCACCACATTGCTCCGGAAAATTGCCACCAAAAATGACATCGTGCGAACGAGATAGAACCAGAAATTCAGATACAAATTCTTTTCCAGCCAACGAAACACTGACAACACATACACCAAGAGTATTAATCTCTCACCACCTACACCACGAAAGATTATTGTATCGTCCCATGAAAACATAACTTTGCAACCTAAGCAGTTTCGGAAGGCTAGGCTCATCACAGACACAGTCGCCCCAGTGTCAACTAACGCCATCGTCGGTATTCCATCAATCAACACATTCACTTTGTTTTTGAGTATAACAATAGGAAGAGGTATGTCTTGAAAAGACCGTCCGGTGAACTCAATTTCATTGGCCGCGGTTGCTAGTTTCCCGGTGGCGGAGAAGAAGAACGACGCACAGGAGACGGCGAGCGACGAGAACGGTTGTAGGGTGGTGTCAAACTCCGCTCGTATGCTGGCGAATTATTGCGTCTGGTCTCGTGCGAGAAACGGTCCCTTGGAAACAAGTCGGTTGTCCGCAGGTCTTATGAAGCACCGGGTCTTCGTGGCAAAGACAAGGCTGGTGTCCTTCGTGATTGGCGGCGTTGTTGGCGGCAATACCGAGCGATATGCCCAGTGAAACCACCGTTGCAGCACACGGGATAGTCACGGTTTATACTATATTTATCGAAACGAATCCTGGGCCACTGCTGTCGGCGAGGAAGTTCGTTATCACGCGAAGAACGGGTTTCTGCCACTCTCTGAAATCTATTGTATTCGGCGTAAGTTGCATCTTGATAGTAGCATAGGTACTGTCCTTGCCGCAGCGGGACGTGGTCCGGCTGAGAGTCCTGAGTATTAGAATGTGGCTGTCCTCGTCGTGATCGTGCGCCACAGGCAGGGCCTTTATTGTAGAGACGTGGCTGATGCTCAGGTGTGGCATCTGAATCCTCAATGCCTTCCGCCACTCAGTGCGAAGAGAATGAAGCAGGTTTCGCTCGAACTCTGGTGCCTGGTTGGGGGGATGAGTTCTTGGGCGGTGATCCACTTGCGCGTACAGGCGGAGTTCTTCACGTACTATATCCCGTATTGTTCATGCAAGATCAGGCGCCTGGTTGCTGTCTATACTCGCGATAGTCGTCACATTGGCTAGCCTGCCAAATTTCGGCGTGATGCGCCTCCTCTTTAGTTGCTCAAAAGGGCGGCAGTGGCGAATGACATCGGTGACAGATGTCAAGGCGTCTTTCGCAATGAGAAAACTGTAAACATCCTTGGCGATTCCTCTTAGAATGGGCCTGACTTTGTCTTCCTCAGACATTCCGGAGTCAATGGTGCTACATAGCTATATGACTTCCTCAATGTAGGTCATGGAAGTTTCACCTGACACTTGAGCGCGTTGCATTAGCGTCTGTTCTGCTCTTTACTTTATCGTTGCTGCGTCGCCGAAACGCTCTTTGATTTCAGAAACAAATCTGTCCCACGTCGTTAGCGTTTCCTCCAGATTCTCGTACCACATTAATGCAGTATCCGTCAGAAAGAACGCGACGTACAAAAGCTGAGAAGCGGCATCCCATTTGTTAGCGGCGCTCACCCGTTTGTAATGGATGAGCCAAGCCTCGACGTCTTCATCTGGTCTGCCGGCAAAGGGACGAGCATCTCTCAGTTGTGGAGCCGAACTGGTCGGCGCAGAAGTCGAGATGGGTCGGTGCTCATTTGCGTTGTGGGACATGTCCAGACCAGATGGATTCGGTGGAAGTCCAGCAATGCGACGGCTCCGTCGAAGAACTTGTGGTTCACCCTCTGTCTTCGGGTGTCGATTACCCAGCACCTCCACCACAACTGTAACAGCGAGCTGTGATAAGATGGTTTTGTTTACAAGAGGTTAACGATGGTCGTTTGCGGCAGCACACTGCGATCGTGCCTAGACTCTTCGTCTTCCTCTGCTTCTCTTCTCTACCTTTTACTAGTCTGTTACACTATGTATGTGTGTGTGTATGTGGTGGGTATGTTGAACGTGCATATTAAGGTGACAATCGCCATGGCTGGAAGGAAAATTAATGACTGAGAAGAATTGAAGACTGGGCCCCACACACACTATATATATATATATATATATATATATATATATATATATATATATATATATATATATATATATATATATATATATATATATATATATAGTGGGAGTAATAATTCAATGGGCCAGTTCGTCTTCGTGAAGGTATGGGATATGGCACAACGGGAGCGTTGTCAACAAGGATAAATATATTTATTTCCCAACAGTTTCGGGAGGGGTCCTCCCTTCATCAGGGGATGAGTTTTAACTCATCCCCTGATGAAGGGAGGGCCCCTCCCAAAACTGTTGGGAAATAAATATATTTATCCTTGTTGACAACGCTCCTGTAGTGCCATATCCCATACATATATATATAAATATATATATATATATATATATATATACATATATATATATATATATATATATATATATATATATATATATATATATGTGTGTGTGTGTGTGTGTGTGTGTGTGTGTGTGTGTGTGTGTGTCTGTGTGTGTGTGTGTGTGTGTGTGCGTGTGTGAAAAACCAATCCCACAAAATATTACTGTCATTGAGATACCATAGCAGCTTTTACTGTAATGTATCCTTAAGATGTCCACACCATGTTTTCATACACGTCAAGGCAGCGCGACTTCTGCAGTATTTTTGTTAGCACAATGTGTCTTGAGCTCACAGACATACAATATAGTCCAGTTTATTTACTTTCATTCCAATTCTTCTGAAAAGCCTTCGTCTGGAATTTTTCGCGAGAAAAACTCGAGCTGACTTTCTTTGCCTTCCAGAATGTGAGCCGGCCGAACCATCATCTCCATAGCGGGATATGAGTAGTGGTAGAGATTGTTCAGGCGTTCTTGCACACTCCACTCGATGCCGTCGGCGTAGCTAGCGTGATAACCATTGAGGTTGAGGCCATTCGGGTTGCACGCATGGCACGCCCTGTACCACCAGCCACCACGAAATAATTTTGCGCAGCTATCTGGACTCTTATCGTTGTCACGATCATAAGTGGAAAATTTTTCGCCGTCACAAAGTCTCATTCCATCCCAGCCTGGAAAGAATGCAATTTGTGTTAAACAAAACAAATCACCGTGTCTGTTGTGCTTTATTAGAACGCTCATTTGGTAAAACAACCAAGCGAGGAATTTGTCTTTCGCTGGTACCTAAAATGAGATTTTTTAATGGCTAACACTCTCGCTTTTTCAGAGGACTGTCATCTTACGCTTTACACTGCGAGTTATTGCTATAGACTGCAAGCTGGCTTGAATGAATTTTTGTGAAATTCATCATGTATATCAAACTTCGGTCCCTCAATTTTTGATACAAAATGGTGTGTAGACACGCTTTTTGCCTTTGACTTTGTACGAATGGCCACGCGTCAACACTTACTTGTGCATGATGTGTGGAGTTTTATTGCTCGGTTCCTTTGTTCAGCAGTATTAAGTGTTGATCGCACTGGCAAGGTGCAACATGACGTCGTTGTTCAGTATGGAATACAATGCATTAGTCACAGTGATTGATCCGTGCCACTTATCAAAAGGGATCCTTATCAGCATCCTTACATTCGATTACCTCCGATGCTCGAGGCATTTTGTGTACTTTTCAAAAGAGAGAACCTGAAGCCTTACACGGATGTGTATTTTCTGGTTCTCAAGGAAAGCAGTACCAAGTGATTACGAGTTTTCACACGTTGGAAGTAGCCCCTCATAAAGACCATCTCGTGCTCTGTACACAGGAGGGCAAACATACTTATAATGTTCTCAGTATTTTTAGAACTACCACTGTGTCATTCTAAAGTACATCATCAAAAAGAAAGAACACAAGTTTTTTTAGTAGTAACAGCTAAAGTCGTTCGGTAAGGAGTTATAAGTAAGCTATTTACGAATATAAGCAATAAAAAGATTGTCTCTGAATGGAACACTTAAAAAATTCGTTTAGTTTTGTATTCGTACGAGAATAGTTATATCTCGGCACTAGTTACTTTGCATTAAGCCTTGCTAATTATATGGGAAGTTTACTGAAAAAGTCTCGTAACATTGGTGTAGTGTTTCTCTTGTTTGCTTTCTTTATTTCTTAATTGCTAATATTTTTATTCAGCCTCCTGTTGCCTAGTTTCAAAACCATGGTGGTGAGGTGAGCATTGAGTAACGTTGTGTTGCTTGCGCATGGAAATATAGTGCACATAAAAGCACTAACCTGGCGGTCCAAGAAGAGTTCCCACATGTATCGTGTAATTCTCATCAGCACTAGCCACACTAACACTGCCGTAATAGATATTGATACTGTGTTCTGTGCTATTCCGGAGCACGATACGCAAGCTCATTTTTTTAGCGCCAGAAGTCAAGGCGTTCAGTGCTTCGTTCCCTGTAAAAAATAATAGAGAAACATGAAATAATGCCACTTTGTCAATTCCTCACTGTTCTGGTGCTCTGTACGAATGTAGATATAAGGAAAATTTGGTGATAGCCATATCAGCCATCGAAATTATGTCGAATAATTACACTCGACTATATGGTAAAATCACGTGCGCGTTTGGCCAGACACATAACCGCACGCTTACTTGTTTTCGCAGCATGAGTATGAAACAAGTGTTTAGCTTTATAAAAATATTACCAACAAATATAGACTTTGATAGATATGTGGGGTTTAACGTCCCAAAACCACCATATGATTATGAGAGACGCCGTAGTGGAGGTCTCCGGAAATTTCGACCACCTGGGGTTCTTTAACGTGCACCCGAATCTGAGCACACGGGCCTACAACACTTCCGCCTCCATCGGAAATGCAGCCGCCACAGCCGGGATTCGAACCCGCGACCTGCGGGTCAGCAGCCGAGTACCTTAGCCACTAGACCACCGCGGCGGGGCAACAAATATAGACTTTCAAGATGTACGTTGAAATAATTATTGTCATTTTCTACTTCGGTTTGCCATGAGGACTCCATGGAGGAAACATTTTCCAGCTCAACCAACGTTATGACCCGGTAAAGGACTGTAAGACGGTAATTAAATGAAAGTAAATCGTGCGTCTCAACTTCCCATTACTCCACTACGTGTACCGCCCTGTTAGCAGAGGCACGTGCAAGGTGGGGGGGGGGGGCGAAGGAGGGCAGCTCTCTGTCCCAAATTAACTGAGAGGGGAGGCACATAACCTGCCTCATACATTGACTTAGTAGCAGCGAGGAGGCGCTGCTGTATTCCTTTGCCCCTCCCCTCTTCAATGGGCAACCCTGCGCAAGCATATGACCATTACGTTTCTTAGAGCTCCATCATCTTATATAAGTGACTTTTGAAAGGAGAAAAGGAAAAAATAAGCGCAGTTTTGTTGCTGCCTCTTTCTTAATGGAGAGCACCTTCACAGTTCTGTGCACAGAATAGGGGTGAGGAAGGATTAAAAAGGATAGGGAGGAATTAAAGGTATGAAGATAGAGAGAGGCGCAGGAAAAAAGAGAGGTGCAGGGACAGCCACATACGGAAGTAAGGAAAAGATAGGAAATATGAACATGGTCGCAGAAGTCCGAGGATGGGGCACCATGCGAGAGCTTTTGTCGGCGTCAGATGATGGCGTAGGGCGAGCCAGTCTGCCAGAGCTGCGCTGTCGTCGGAGATCGCGGGGGTACAACCGGTCGGCATGAAATCCAGCGACACATATGCGAATACTACATTGGCTACTAAGTAATAGAGTGTCCTTATCCCACGAAGGAAGCACTACCTTCCTCGTGTCCACCCCTTACTCACAGCCTTTTTTTTTTTCTAGTGAGCAGATCAATACAACTGCAAAATGTTTAGTGGTCTACGGGTACCGATCTTAAGAACGGTTGTTCTGAAAATCTTTGCCTCTGTAAGGCTGCACCTTAACCAGAGCCTTGGTGTGAAATTCGAGCCTCCGGGGTGCTTTAGGAGGCAGACAGCACGTTCCACAGCTTTATAGACAAGTGAAGCAAGTATGTGCGCACATTTAGAGATACGCTTGCTTGAACGAAGTTCATAATCACTTGGAAGGACACCCAAAACCAAGGATCCTGTAAACCGGTGGTACTGCAGCAAACAATTAACTGCCCTTCATCCAAAAAGAATGTGGAAAAAGCAAAACTTAGCTGCCACTTTTATGTGTGAATCATTTCAATTAGTGGAAAGACGTTATCGGGTGTTTAAAGAAACTGCGGCGTTTCTCGAACATCACACATTTTTGTCGTCATTATGAGTGAAGTAAAAAAAAAGAACTGAGAAATAAAGGAACGGCGTAATAACTCAATGATGCTGACATTGCATTGTTTTATTCTTTACACCATTAGTGAGAATGTGTAGCGAAAAACACTTTTTCTAAATGATTCCCTATGAAGCCAGAATAAATGAGAGAATAAATGAGAGAAATAAAAGGCCTCCATGCACAATTTTGTGGCTAACAGGACCTCTGTGAATTTTGGGGAGAAAAAGACAGGGCAGTGACTGTCGGGCCACGTTAGGCCTGTCGTTTCTTTACAATTGTAGTCATTGTCAACAAGAGCAAAACAAGCTATGTTTCAACTTCAGATAGCGTACTTTTAAATGCGAAGGAGCTTACAGAAAGCGCTGCGTCCGTCACTACCTCGTCCTTCCGGTGGAATCCAACCCCTACTATGCAAGCGCCTCCGCCCCTCCTCTCTCTAATCTGCAGCATTCGCCTTTCTACCCTCCCATGGCGTCCACACCACCATGGTGAATGCGTGCTCCATACCTCTTTCTCGCCTCTCCTGCCGTACTCTCTCTCTCTCCACTAGGAATCCTCTACGGTGCTTAGGCGCATGACAGGTGGTGCGACAGCTGCATACTCCGCTGGGGGCGCTACTATAGTTCCGTGGTATGACGGAACTCGCGAGCCTCACTCTCTCCTGCGCAACGCCGCGATGAACGCCAGTGCCAACGCCGCCGCTAGTGTCAGCCTTAGCGACAGAACAAGCTCTCAAAACGTACACCACCTCCTTCTCAAGCTAATCATTTTCCCACTGCTCGCACTGACTCATAGTTTCTTTTAGCAGAAGATGGTAAATAATTATTTATTGTCGCCCTCCCTCGTCATTTAGAGCTGTTAACTAAAGTCACTAGCTTTCGCTAATGTGCTAGAACTCCCTGCACAAACACATGGTACTATGACACCACCGTGAGCCATGCTTCATCAAATGTGAATGAGGCACACAACGTATCTATTCCCACTTTGAAATTCTGGCTGTTTAGTACGTGTTATGGCTGTCTAAAGGCATATTTCTAAACACCCTAGAGGTCCAGACGATACGGACACGCCCATAGTTTGCATCTTAAAGGTTTTCACGCGTGACTCATTCAGTTCGTTGTTTCGCACTTCGGGCGGGAAAACCCCATTAGCAAGGAAGTGATCAGCAGGACTGTCAGGCATTGACGCGTTATTTCTTATGTTTAGTTCACCGTTTATCAAAAGCTGTGACATATGACAATGACCTATGTTGCAGTCCTACTTCAGGCATAAAAGCTGTTGAATAATAGAGACTTTGAAAAAACTTGAACTGGTTCTTTCTTTAGCCAACTTACCTATCCAGTACTCTTGGTTTGGACTTCCGAATCCTTGCGCGTATTCGTTCCAATCTCGGTAAAAATTGAAAACTCTGTTCCCGAACTGTCCACGTCTCTGAATAACCTATCATAAAAAAAGACAGGTACATGCCTAAGCAGTACACGTATCCTAAATTGCTCAAAAAGATATGCACTCGGTCACTTCAAGAGTGCCAAAGTTTATTATCACCATCATTATCATAATAATCAACAAAATAGCAATGACAAGGAGACGATTTTTCGGCCCACTTCACAAAGGATGGGTCGTCCAGTGCCTTAAAATGTTTTCGTTTCGCTTCAGTGCATCGGCGCAGTTGAGGGGCGTATCCAGAATATTTTTTCCGGCAAGGCAGGAGGAAGGGGGTTAACTCATACTTTATGTTTGTTTGAGCGTGCGTATTTTTGTGCGCGTGTGTATATATATAAAAGCAAAATGAAACATTCAGGGGCATGTTCAACCACCAAACGCCTCCCCCATTGTTTAAGCCACTGGTGCAGGTTAAGTTGCTGTTACAGATCATATTCAGCGCGGAGCAAATGATTGCAATGTTGTAAGGGTTATGTTGGGTACATGCTAACGGCGAGAGAAAGAGAAAATGAGAGGGTGTGAGAGAGAGAGAAAGAAATAAACACAAACAGAGAAACAAAGAAGAAAGACGAGACGAAGAAAAATTGATGAAATAAAACTTATTTTTCTTGATGAGGCAGCCACTTGACCCTAGAACACCTGGTTTGACGCATGTGCTTTCTGAGGTTTGCCTCGGCTAAAGTTGATTATCACCAACATCTTCATCACATTAGGAATGATAAAAATGAAATGAATTATAAGCGTGTGCTATCGCTGCCGTCGTAATTACATGGTTGCATTTTTTTCCAACAGCTTGCATCAATTTCCGGTATTCGTTCTCCGCTTGTTTGAGTTTCGGGATCCATAAAACTTTTCACTTGCTCATTACCGGAAGCCAAGTAAAGGCACGTTGATCAATGGCGTGGTAAAGTCCTTTTAGTGAGAGGTCGCTGCCTCATTACTTGAGGATAAGTGAAGTAATTTGAAGTGCCAATAAAAACGAAAGATCAAATAGCTACCCTCAGGCTAGCATAGAATATATCCCCCTCAACGATGCACAGGGAAGGTTAGCTGTTTCGGGGCAACGATAGCCCACGACAGCCCGGGCCCTTAAAGTTCTCTGTGTAAGCAGTTGAGGGGCCTTTGCCTTTTGCGAGAGTGGGGGCTAACGAAGCTTTTTTTGTGCGTGCCAGAAGCAACCCATTTGTTTCGTTTCTTTACTCTCGCATCAGGAAATTTTCACTTCTAACTACCTAAATCCACCATGCGAAGAATCGCGCCTTCAACTGCGTGCTTCCGAGCGCAATCATTCACCTACTACAGACAGCAAGTATATTCATCCTTCATATTCAGGCCACAATGACATGTGGAAATTCGAAATGACAAGTATCTTTCACAAAACACAAGATTGTTATATCGTAATGGGCTGATCAAGCACAAGCGCACGATTGGGGGTGAATAGATTATTGAATAATGGCACGTACAAATACACAAGAGACCAGTGTACCTTCAAGAGCAGCAATTCTAAAAGTTTGCCAGCGCCTACTTTTTTTTGCCTACGAGGGCCCTGCCGGCCTATGATAGTTATTAAACCTAATCCTAAAACTGTACTTACCGTCCAGCCTCCGCCATCTGCTTCCATATCACAATACACGTCCTGCCCTGTGGAAAGGGCTTTTCTGTGGAAAATTCGGAAGACACCACTCTTGTGCTGACCGTAACGCAGGAGATCGCTGCACTGTCGAGGTCGACGGCACTCTGTAGAAAGCATTCTACGTAAATAGATATAGAAAATGACACTGGCTTTGGCGGAATTGTTTCTTAATCAAGTTTTTGAAATAAATATACTCTGATGTTTTGGCTACTGTACTATTATGTAGTTATTTAAGGTTGTCTAAAAACGTATCACAATCTTTTCCGCGTGTGCCCCTCCTGCAACCGTAGGTTTTGTAACAATTCCGACATTTTTTTTGCAGCAAGGTTTGTTCTGTACCCCTTTGTGTTGGGAAGAGAGATTGGAGTAGTGTATTTAAACACAAAACAAGTGACGCTTTTTTTTGCCAAAGCACACAAGTACATCAGTGGAGCCGTGATAAATTCCGTAATGTGAAACATGTTTACTTAAAATTGACGAACTGGAGCAAAGAACTACATTGAATATAGATTACGTAGTACGCTTCCGTTTTTCGTGGTGTGCGGGTGCCATAGCCTGAAACAACGTCATTGTAGAGGTGTCTCTTCACTGAACCAAAATGCATTAGAAATAAGACATTCAAGGCTTTAAGCAACGAACCACACCCCTAGCCTACCTTCATGTTTTTTCCCCTCAGATGGTGCGACAGGTGTACTATCTCCCACCAGACCAACCTCGCAGTACTTTGGAATAGACACGACGTGTTCGGGCAAAGTTTTTGTGCTTGGAGCTCCATGTTGCTATATCAGTGCAGGCAAACTGATGTCGGTTAGTAAGTTAGGCTCAAACGTCGTGGTGCTGTTGAGGGATCTTGAAGGTTAGTTAGGTCTAGGTCTTGTAACAGACAGGTCGAACAGATTTCTGTCAGACACGACAGCTGATTGACCATGATATTTCACACAATACGAGACTGCCTTTCAAGTATTAGCAGGTTAAATAAAGCTTTTAGGAAGAACCTCCAGAACCGTAGAACACATCTGAAAACTCTCTGCACCACAAAATTCACCTAAAAAATTGTCCATCTGATGTACATATGACGTAGCACTTTATCGTATATGCTGAATGACATAGTAGAATGTCATGTGAACACCGAACTGGTGGCAAATAAAATAATTTGCTTACTTTTTATGTAGAGCAGCAAATGCAGGAACTCTTGAAGTTTTCGTCCCGCTTTCTCCTCGGGTTCTTCTATCAGTTCTTCAGCATTTTCATTTCCTTTGACTTCGGATGTCGAATTAACCACAAAAATTGATGCCGTTATAAGAACGTGAAGAACCACGAAGCTGCTTCTCATCTTTCTCGTGGCTGCCTCGGCACTGGAAGTAAAGATTATTACACATATTTTGCTTTCACTACAAAATGATTTAGGGTGGTAATCACCCAAAGGAATGTAGGCACACTTGCGTTCTTCGGACTAGATGGTGGCGACAGATCAATTTTGTAATAATACAAAGATGGAAAAGCTCACGTGGGGTAGAGTGGCGCTAGCAGCTAGCATAACAGCCTCTGTACGTTGCACGCCTTTATAATACACACTTCAATGCGTAGTTCATTAGAGAACATCACCCCTCAGTCCCTTCCGAACATCTTCAACTAACTATGCACCATATCTCCACAGCTTTAAGAGGTCAATCTTGAAATGAGGTGGAGAGGTTTCACATATTGCATGTGCATTTGCTTGAAAGCATATAGATAATTGTAGTACTCGAAGTCTAAGTGGTCTTTTGGGGACTAATACTTTATAATAATTTTTTTGTAAATTTGTGGCAGTGTTTTCCAATATTGTCAGGAGACGCTTAAGATAAGCACTATAGAGATGACGAAGGCACTAGGGATATCTCGAATTGACAGGAGTTCATCTCGTTTGGCCAATCAACCAGTGAGGGTGTGTGCCACAGATTTCCCATTCTTTCTTTTCCTCTTGTTTACCTGTCTTCGAGCGCATTATGTATTCTTATCAACTTTTCCTATGCTTTGGCAAAGGAATCGATATTACGTTTGGAATAACGTTAGAGTAAATAATGATGTATAAAGATTTGACGGAAAAAGAATGCTATCATAAACAGGTCAGGCTATAAATATTCTGCATATGCAATTCTAGAGCCTTTATTTGTTCAATAACTCTTACAAGTGCAGAGAAAGAGAAAACAAGAATTCGCATTATCATTTCACAGGGTGACTTCTTTGGGTACGAAAATACTCTCGAATTGCAAACAAGCAGGAAAAAATAGTCTAGTCATTCACACATTCGCTCATTCAGCTTTTTTGGAATTTCTCGTCACCAGCTGTGTATCTTTGTGAAGGTTAACTTTTGTTACAGAAGGAAAAGAAAGAAATTGTAGAGAGAAATTGTGAAACCAGTAAACTAACACAATTATAGAAAATAGCAAAAAAATGCTAGCTACTAAAGACTGAAATGAAAGAAAGTGCCGTTACAGGAGCTGCAAGTATCTTGCAAATAGCGCAAGGTATTCCTTTGTGTTGCAAGACGTGTAATGTTGTGACTTCTAATTGAATATTGTATTAAAAAGAAAGATGCTTGAATGACGGTAGCTAAGGCAAAAATGGGACCGCCCAAAAGCTCGTTTACTGTAGTATACACAACTACAGAAACGTATGGACAAGTACAATGAGCACGGCACAGAAGACGTTGTTTTTGTTTTTTTACCCACATTGTCATGACTGTAACCTAAATTGAAATCAGTTAAAGTGCATGAAAAGTCATTCTTTCTTTCGTTGGAATCTTAATCCACGAACTTCGAATCAAATGGCACGCGTGCAAAGGGTTACCACCACCAATAAGCACGAACATGAAACATGCCATCCAAAATAAAAGGACATATAGGTTTATTCACACAAATCAAATCATGAGGTTTTCGCTAGACAATGATTCCTATTTCTGCTAGCTAAAACTAGTTACCTTAGGCGTGGCAGTTACAAGTTTATAAAAGCACTTTAACAAATTTTCTCTCATTCCATAAATATTGCCGTCGTGTATATTGTTTTGTTGCATTTTAAATGAGTCAAGTTTGTCGCCAATCAGCAATAAGTAACGTATATATGCTATTTTTTAAACGAAAACATAGGGGTCATTCCGTCTCTCCTAACGTCATCGTTAGGAGACGATTCTTTCACAGCCATCCTCAATAAACAGTGTATTAAATCTGCCCAATCTTACAACAAGCTATTACAAATGTCCCAAACAGAGCCCGGACATATCTTTGCAAAATAAAAAAAAAGCTCTGAATAATCATGAATACAAACCAAGCATATTTCATATACCTGAAGGCTATAGACACTAGTCTGTAACAAAAGCCAGTGAGACCTCAGGTTATATTTGATTGCTAACAGTCTTCGTTTCTCCTCTGTAATGAATACCGTAAATAAAAATAGTTTTTCACCTGTGATTCAATGTATTTTTCAGTTTCTTAATAAGTAATCCACCCTTAGTACATTCCTGTTTCACTGGCGTCGATAGAGCTAATTGTTGCGTACTTGAAAGCATTGCATGGACGCTGAATTATTGGTCTCTTTTGGTCAGTCCAAACGGGATCAGGACAGAGAAGTGTAATTGCAATGAATAGCGATCACTATTTTACTCATTTATTCTTTTAGGGCAAGCTACATACAAAAGTGCTTGCTGTTATGTTCCTATAGTATTGACCCCTGAATTTGAACAAGAGCGTAAAATTACTCACATGAAGAAGTAAATGTTTTCTGCGAAAAAGGACGCTGAAAGAGATCGACGCACAACGAAGCAAAATATGGCAGAAACCATGCAAAGGGATTGAACCATTACCCATGACAGCTAGTATCCTACTACCTGTTCTGCTAATTCAAAGGCTTTTTCGCCCTTGAATGAGCACGGCACGCAGTTCTTAGCGAACTTCAGCGAGTTAGAGCGTATCTATCTATCTATCTATCTATCTATCTATCTATCTATCTATCTATCTATCTATTATATCTATCTATCTATCTATCTATCTATCTATCTATCTATCTATCTGTCTGTCTGTCTGTCTGTCTGTCTGTCTGTCTGTCTGTCTGTCTGTCTGTCTGTCTGTATGTATGTATGTATGTCTGTCTGTCTGTCTTGCCACCTACGACTTTTAGTTTTTCAGACCATTTCGAATATGGTACCGATACCAAAGTTGGTATGACATAACATGACTATATGACAAGCATAAGCGACAAGTTATAACATAAAAATTATCATATCTATTTCATAAATCTCATGATTTATTTTAATAGTCGTGCTGCTCTCGCGGTAATTTTTCACTTGTTGAAAAACTGGTATAGTATAACATTATGCATACTGCACGGCGAACACAAGTGACAGACACTACCGCGTAAATCACGACATGCATGTCATGTAAGCCATGATTATATGCCACAATCATGGTGCGCTCACCGTCGTTTCACTAGCTTTACGTATACCAAAATTGGTATTACGTGAAGTAAAATAGATGACGATTGTATGTAACTGATGAAAACATGACAATGATGAGATGCGTGTATTGTAACAACATGACTCGCTAGCTTCACATATACTAAATCTGGTATTACGGGACGTGAATGGAGGGCTAAGTTATGTGACTGATGCAAATTTGGTAATCATGACATGTATGCCATGCAACAATATCACTACATGCCCCGCTCATGATGCATACGCGGCTGTTTTACTTGACACATATATGAAATTTTGTGTTACGTGACGCGAAGTGACGATGAACGCAAATGAGATGTCCAAACATGATAATCATGGCATGCGTGTCATGTAACGACATGACGACATGACACACTCATGATACAATCGCGGCCGTCTCGCTTGCTTCACATGTACCAAATTTGGTATTATGAGACCTGAATAGATGATGAAGGTATGTGAACGGTGTGAACATCATAACTATGAGAAGCGTGTCATGTAACAACATGACTACATTTCAAGCTCACGATGCACACGCAGCCGCTTCGCTAGCTTCAGATATACCAAATTTGGTATTACGTGACGCGAACGGGTGACGAAGGCAAATGACGCGCCCAATGATGATAATGAATTCATACATGTCATGTAAAACATGACTACATACTACGCTCATAGCGTGCTCGCGGCCATTTCGCTAGTTCCACATATACCAAATTTCGTATCACGTGATATAAATGGACGAGGAAGCTAAGTGACATGGACAAACCTGACAATCCTGATTTGCGTGTTATGTAAAACATAACTACATGCTACTCTTGTAGCGTGCTTACAGCCGTTTCACTATACCAAGATATAACAAATTTTGTATCACGTGTCATGAAGACAACGAAGGTAAATTACACGTGGAAACTTAATAATCATGGCATAGAAGTCTTGTACGGCATATTTTACGTTCGCCTCGTAACGATCTGCTGATTTGAAAGTGACGTATTAACCTTCCTCATTCATGGTTTGCCTATCATCGATGCGCACTGTACGTGGGATCCGTCAATTTTTTTGTGGCAATTGATGCGGCGGTAATGCTGCAATCTTTCTCACTGTCAAAGCACGATAACCTTTATGCTCTTCCGCATTACCACAGGCTGGAACTATACAGCATTTTTCTTTTTAAATGCTGGAATAACCTCCTTTGCTCTGTGTTGGCCAGTGTAAGCCACAACAGCCACTAAGTTGCTGCTGTCATCCTCTAGGCGCACGTCGACCGACTTTCTCTTTGCAAACTCACCCGCAGAGAATCTCCACCTCATTCACTACGCTTCTTTTGTGGCTTATGTACAACTTACGAATGGTTTGATAAACCTGAATTTCAGCCCAAGACTCATCGAAATGACCTTCTTTGTAGACATGAAATGCTAGCCATCTTTTTGCTAGCGGAACCACTTAAACAAAACTAGTACGTACTATTCACATTCTTAAACCTGTAACACCTTGCGGATATCACATAAAACAACAACCAGATTGCGTGTCATGTATTTCGTTTATATTACGCTTTTTATTGGGTGTATAAAAAGAATGTGAATTTGATATTATAATAGGTTTTTATTAAGTTGTCATTTTCTGTATAATTATCACCATTCATTACAGTAGTAGAAGTAACAATAAAATAACCAGAGTAGGAATAATAATAATACATAATATGCATACCTGGTCACCTTTACGAATATCCAAACTTTCTCACATTACGAGGACTACCGGGCCTGGCGCGGGGGTCTCGCTGATACAAAGCATAAAAGCCCTTTGTCAAAATCACCCGACGTCAGTATTTTTACGTGTCAAAATATATTGGAAACTGATGGACATATAAAGACAATGTGCGGCAAAATATACGACATCACTGAACGCTAAACTATAGGAATTCTCTTGAATGTATTTTTGTCTTCTTTCGACTTTCATTGTTGAAATGAAGCACAATAAATGGGACAAGGTAAAAAAAGTACAGACTGGACATTTTGCCTTCATTTTATTAGGTTGCATCAGAGCATGGCCTTGTTTCTTTGCCTGTCAGTTTCCGTCATTCAATCAAATTCAAATATGAGTATTTTTGGAGCGCTGCTGACAAGGCGATTGGCGTATACACATAACGGGTAAAAACGGTCGTTCTTTTCAAGAAACAAAACTGCTTACATTAAAATTGGTGCTTATAAAACCGCAAATTAATCATCAGAAGTTTTTGTGGAAATGTTTTTCGCCTTAAGATCTATCTCTACGCACTACATAAAAACATTATTGTTTCGAACACAACAGTTAGTAAAAGAAGTTACTAAAATGTTATATCTTCGAAAAGAAAAAGAAAACATCACATTATCGTGCATACATTTCACTGAGCCACTGCAAAGGCAAAATATTTATTTTCCTTTTCACATGACTCATTAATCCTCAGCCGCGACGACGAAAAAATTTTGCACGTAACTAGGTTTTACACTGCCTTCTAGATTGCCAGCGTGCTCTGCTTTCTAAACCCACCTGAAATTGCGGTACCTCGGTGATCGGCCATTTCTCCGAACGATGATGTCGTGTGAGGATGTCATTGCGGACGTCACGTGACTCGGCGCGTAGTGAGCTTATGAGGACGTTACAACATTTGGCGGTTCGGGACGTATGGTTATAGCGTCAAACACTGACTTCCTCTCGCAATGATGACATTTTTTTCATCACTCGTGCTCACGCTGACACCGCTGGACGATAGCCAATCAATGGTCAGCCTTTAGGTTGATTGAGGACATATGACAATTATGAGGCCAGCTGAACAGTCAACATGGAGTGAAGGACTCAGACTTATATTTATTAGCGTCCGCATGAGCTGAGAGTTCCCAAGCTTGCTGACATGCTGCCACAAAGCTCGTCGTCGCCTTCTGACTGGCTGAAGGGGGGAAATTTAACAAGTCATACAGGGCTTTCACCTTCAAATATACTCGGCACCAAACACGTGACGCTTCTCTCTTGGCTGTCGTCATTGTTCTTAAAAATTTCTTTAATGCTTAGTTCTTGCACTGCTCCCTAGAAGAGACTTGGAGTTTCACCGCTTTAGCTCTTCAAGAATTGATTCGAAAGATGACAGGTGTACACTTTATTGAGACCAATCGACAGTGATAAAGGGGACGACATGCTGAAGATTTAAAGGTCTAATACGTCTGGTGCCCTCTAGGGAGCGGTATTGTTTTTTACTGCTTCTAGGGGACACAGTGATATCGTGCACAGTGACAGAAAGGAATCAAGAAAACCATATACAGCTCAACTGTAAAACTGAGAACCAAGCAGTGCTACATACCTTAGTCCCAACTTCTCGAAACAAGAGGCGTTGAATAACCAGAAATGCACACGAAAAGTCGGGTTAGAGAAAAAAAATAAAAAATGGCAGCTCCCACGTACAGTGGGAATCGATGATATACGAAGCAGGAATGAGGAAGGTCTATATGTCAATTGAAAATCAGCACAAAGTTATGAGGCTGACGTAAATTAGGCCGCACATGAATTCCTTCTAAAGATTATTATGTTTGGACATGTCATTTACCTTCATCGTCTATTCCTGTCAAGTGATACTATATTTGGTATATGTCGAACTAGAGAAATGGTAGCAAGCACGCTGTGATCGTAGCAAAAGCCCCGTTTTACATGACAGGCACGTTCCGATTATCATGTTTAGATGTGTCATTTACCTCCGTCTCCCGTTCGCGTCACGTGATATCTAAATTTATATATGCCAAGCTAGCGTAACCATCGCAAGTGCATCATGAGCGAGACATGTAGTCATGTTGTTACATAACAGGATCTGATGATTAAAGTGTTTGCACCAGTCTAATGCCTTCGTCATCCATTCATGCCCCATAATATTAAATATGGTGTATGTAAAGCCAGCGAAAGAGCCACGAGTGCATCCTGAATGTGGCATGTAGTCATGTTGTTACATGACACGCATCTCCAGATTATCATGTTTGCACCAGTCAGATACCTCCACCGTGCATTCACGCCCCGTCATGCCAAATTCAGCATATGTGAGGCTACCCAAACGACCGTGAGCGCACGATCACCGTAGCGTGTAGTCATGAGTCTTGACTTACATAACATGCTTGTCATGATTTCCACGTTATGATCTGTTACTTGCATTTTCGATGCAGTCACGTTTTAAACATACCAGTTTTGCAACATGTCATGTTATCGAAACCACCGCAAAAGCAGCAATTACCATGAAACGTAAGTCATTACATTCATGTCATGAATATCATGATAGTCATGGTATGAACAGTCAATTATGCTAATCATGCAATCATAATATGTCATACCAAATTAGCTATTGATTCCAATCAACGAAACGGTAAAGAGAGCTAAAAGTTGTACGCGGATGATAGATAGATAGATAGATAGATAGATAGATAGATAGATAGATAGATAGATAGATAGATAGATAGATAGATAGACAGACAGATAGATAGACAGACAGACAGACAGATAGATAGATAGATAGATAGATAGATAGATAGATAGATAGATAGATAGATAGATATTGATTGATTTGTGTGGTTTAACGTCCCAAAACCACCATATGATTATGAGAGACGCCGTAGTGGAGGGCTCCGGGAATTTTGACCACCTGGGGTTCTTTAACGTGCACCCAAATCTGAGCACACGGGCCTCAACATTTCCGCCTCCATCGGAAATGCAGCCGCCGCAGCCGGGATTTGAACCCGCGACCTGCGGGTCAGCAGCCGAGTACCTTAGCCACTAGACCACCACGGCGGGGCAGATAGATAGATAGATAGATACGCTCAAAATCACCGAAGTCTGCCAAGAAATGCTTCACATTTAAAAAGCTCCTAATAAGATTTGTTTTAATGTACATAAGCTTGCGAGTCCTGACTGGTCTCTTCACGATTGAGAGTGCACAACGTGTACAGTATGTTTCTTGCACCTTCTAGAAGTACGTGGCATACGTCAAATAGGCGTGTATAAACACTGTACATCTTGTCCCCTCTAACTTCTGAAGAAGAAGCTGGTCGGGCTACACATTTTTAGGTATTTGAAAATAACATGGCTGATCTCTCTTTCTAAAAATGCGAATAACGCACAAGTGAAACGTGTCTTGGCAAGGGTAGTAGAGCGTTTATTGTGCATTGTTTTGCTACATGGTTCAAGGAATGAATGCTCCAGAAACGCATTACAATGTGACGCGAAGAACAGCAAGAAGCCACGATGTAAACAGCTTGAAACTTACCGCGTACACCTTAAGAAATAGCAAGACCAAAATTAGCACGCACAGGGCGATCGCACACGACCAACTCTCACAGCTTCACACCGTAAGCACGCTGCTCAAACAAAAAGAAAGACGCACCAAGCCAATGCAACCACGGAAGCGGCCGAAAAGACCTTTGTGCTTTTTTTTACCCACTGTAACTTCAAAGTAAACTTGGCTGGGAAGTAGGATGGTAAAAAGCGCCCTTATTCAAGGGTAAGCGAGTGCACTAGTGAACCACTGCGCCATATTGCAACCATGCGCACTTTGAACAGGCCATGTGTAGTTGCGTGCGCATGGCAACGCACGGGGTGGCACGGAACGACGACATTTGAAGCGCTGCTGATAACGAAAGTGCAGTGAAGTTGCTGAGCTCTCAGTTCTGTGAACGGTACAAGGTGTATGTAAATCATTTGCCGTTAACGCCACAGTTCGAAATTTTTTCATCTCGTTTTTTTTTTCTTTGCAATCTGTTAGGATGTATTTTAAGGCGTCGAACCCACGATGGAAATACGCCATCGATGCCATAGTGGACACCAGCATAAAGCATTTTATTGCGATACCAATATATATGGACACTTTCGGTTGGATTTCGCCATCAGCGTGGGCGTTGGCGTCGACGTGGACGTCGGCGTTAATGTCATGGACCGTATACGTATGAGTATCTATACGTGAAAACGCAAGAAAGAAAAAATCCCAGAAAGAAAAACTCCAGCGCGCGGAAGGTACCTCCGCGTCTTGAATGCAAGACTTTAACGAGTGCGCCACCGAGAGGTACCTTCTTCAACATTTGAACGGCAAGCCATTCATATATACTACTTACCGCTGCTGGCGGGAATCTAGGGGAAGGGGGAGGGGCGGTAATTGTGTTTTCAGCATTATCAGCAAGATGGCGCAACGAGCGGGCGGCGGCTCTCATCTCTCACGCGTGCTTTGGCCCGCATGGAGAATAAGACGCTGTACGCTCGATCGCGCGCCCTTATCTTGCAGAGGGGAGAATCGTACGTCTTGACTAGCCCATGAGTTTTGTAGGAATGATTCTGTTGTAGTTACCGGGCGCACAAAGGTCACTGCATACGTTGCAAGCCTTCGTTAGCAAAAAGGGCGCGCTTTTCAGACACAGCGAAGTAACAACTGAGACGCTTATTCGCGCTAATCTGTACCTGTGACTACGTTTCGTGCGTCCTTTGTGCGTGAGAAACATGGGGCACGTTTCGATGTGCCTGCCATTCTGCACGTGACCTTCCAATTTTTTGCAAACACGTTTACTGCTTCGCCTTTGTGGTGAAGCTGTGACTTTTTTGTGAAAATAAATATTACTTGATTCTTTGTCTTTTTGGCTTATGTTTATATTAAAACATGCAGGTAGATATCTCTCTACAGTTGATGGCCTTTTAGATTTTTGCGCAATAGAATGTACAAAGAATATATTTACAAATTGTACACAGAGTA